ATCTTTTCAATCAAATGATTGTGCTTGTCATACTGGGTTCTATTGAGGATTATTTGAAATCATTTTTTATTACATTTTCAGTAGTTGCAAGCCTAAACAAGAAGTCACCAGCACTACAACTGCTACTATTATTCAGCCTACTAGCTAGAAGTACTAGCACTCCCTGGTGTTGGCATCTTTTAAGTTGTTCCTTTCTCTTGATTTACCTTTTCAGAGTCTTTATCAACAACAAACCTCCTTTTTTCTACTAGCAGTAGCATATTTTTCACTCTTACCACATCGCTGGTGCCCAACAGCCTTACGGTACTGGGTTCTCTCTTTGCCAAGTTGTACCTGTGCCCACTACTATACAGTAGTCCTACTATGTCTTTTCCTAAAGACATAGTGCTATTTTATGAAAAAAAAGGTCCCAATCAAGACTGGTGGGTGATTCACAATTTAGTAGTACATTGAATTCAGATTTGATTCAGATTTCCCCCCCCCCAATGGTTCTGTTGGATCCCCATCTGATGCCATATCTTTCCCATTCAATCCAGTTGTGTTTGACAAAATTTTGATGTTGAATTGACACTCAATCAAGATCCGGTGAGACTCAATCAATATTAGATGGCAGTCCAGTCAGACAAAATCACTCAGAATTCAATTCAGATTCCTCTGGTCTGCTCAAGTGCAACAAAATTTATTTTGCATTCTTGGCATCCAATATGTTGACTCAATAATCAGTGTTCACCAACATAGGCTACCCATCTCACTTGTTTTGTGTGTGCAAACCTTACCCATCAGATTTGCTGTAGGCACAGACATGACCAATCTGACATAAATAACAAGGTGCTGGGCATGTGATTTTTTAAAAAAGGGTATGTATTCTTAAAAAAAGGTCGTGATGGCATGCAATGGATTGCAATCATTTTTTGAGACAGATCTATGATTCTATGTACCGTAGTTACATAGTACTTCTTCCAATATACCCAAAATACAGAAATGATCCATGGTGCAATGGTAACTTTTAAAAACCAATCAAACCCTGTACAAAAAATACAGTCACGACTACATACTTGCTGTACTCAAATCTTTCATTCTTCATTCGTCTACAGTATAACTGTAGTAAAACAAAGTAAATCAGAACTACATCTTATCTCCAGTGTAGCTGGCTCATCACCGATAGGAAGGCGGTGAAGTCGAAAAGACAGCCCAAGAGAAGAGGAAAACACTTCAAACAAAAGAAGATATKCATTCTAACAACAGAGAAACTTATCAAAMAGATTAGGATAATTCCTTTCCTTCCATCTTTGATTCGTGGACGGATTGTGCGAAACTCATGACCACATCCGACATCCATTTCCATTTGTTCTCGGTTGGCCACAATCCGAGGGGCCAACCGACATGTCCGCCCGCTTTCGTCAGAAGCATCATTAAATAGCCAGAACCACTCTTGGTGAGGTTGGCTGGGTGCATAAATCCCGTATTCTGGATCGTAGTCCGCCATGTGATGAGGGGATCGTCAAAGGCGTGGACAACGAGAAAAGGAATCGCTATACTGTGAATCTTGCTGGTTTTGTTTGTGTCCTCCAACAAATYTGTAACTGGATTGTGTGGTATGTCGCCAAGAGCGCTCATTTCTCTGTAGTAATGATCGAGATCATCGAATCCATTCAGTGGGACTACGGCGTACCGATCGATTTCCTACCGGACCAAGCGTGCGTGCGAGAAATCGAAACACAGAAAAAAAAACAGTGTCAGAAGGATGAGGGGGTCGGCTTGCAAATATTTTCACACATCAAGAGGAATCYTGTGTGCGACCTTCGATCTTCCTTTCTACTCACCGTAATATGGGATGATCTCAGCACCTTTAGATACTCTATCGTGGTCAGCTTCTCTTTCACACGGTGTCCGAATTTCCCAAGCAGAAACTCATCCCGTAGGGTTCCTGCCAGCATTGGCTGCCAAAGCCTCTGGGTCCGGAAGGCGTCCTCCTGATACCTCATGTCTAGTCCACCGCTCACAGCGACCGCTGCATCGAGAGCACAGTCGGAACCGTAGGTTGCTACATAGTTGCTTATGATGATGCCGCCCATGGAATAGCCRGCTCCCACCAGTACCTGCTCGCTCCCCAGAACCCGCCGGAGCACGGAAGCTGCTTCGTGTGCATCAGAGGTGCGGGCACCGTTGAAGAACCTAAATCCCCGGATCGGCGTGTCCATCATGCCGCGGGCAATCATGACCACAACGGTGGATCCCTCTGCGTTCCTTCTTATGGTCAAATCTCGGATGTACTCCTCCTGACTGCCTCCAGACAATCCGTGGAGAACGAAATAGATCGGCTTTCTGGAATCGTGGCCAGTGGTCTTTGGGAAGGAGACATCGAGAGAGACGTATTCCGAGACCGGATCTCGATCGTCCTGAACCTTGAGAAAGACACGGTTCCAGCTAGGATACTGGTCTGGGTGGAACTTGTGGATCATGAAGGGCAACCCGGTGCGGGAATCCCCGGTTGGCATCCACGTTGTGGCACCGTGTTCTACATCATATACTCTATAGTTTTCCGACCATCGCTCCACGATGCGGGATACTAGGGTGTTTTTGGAATCGAAGTATAGTCCCTCCTCCAGCTTGACCTCGTCCACCGGACTCCCGAAGACAAGCTCCCCGTCGTGGAAGTGGACCAAATGCGCTGACAAGATTACCAAGAGTGCAACGATTAYGGATGCAAGCCTCAGATTGTGCTTCCAGCACAACCTCGTGCATACKATGACGGAGGCTAAAAATAATGTGGCTCCATACGATGGTCCATTGTGCAAGACGTACAGGGTATCAGTCATCAGTATCAGGGACGATCCCACCGTCAGAACAATTGCGAACGAGGTRCGTTTCGTAGCTTTCAACGGTGGCGAAACGGCGAGGTAGGCAATCCCAATCGGACCGATTAAYCCGGCAAACAGTCGTAGCCACAGCTCTGCCATAGCCAGCAGTGCAGGTGCCACCATGTACCAAAGCGTCACAAACGATTCCATTCGTGTTGCCGACTCGTTGGAATGACCCGCGCTCCATATTTCGCCCAACAGATTCAGAGACCCCATGGGCGGAATCGAAGCGTCGAACTCAAAGATTTCGCCACTGTCGAGACAAAAAGGATGGACGGTCGGAAGTTCTAGATCTAAAAAAAACTTGCGGTTCGCTTCGAGGTCGTTCTTTCCCAAAAACGAGGACCAGTAGTCGTCTCCAGCGCTGGYRGTGGGGACTCCATTTTCACTGTCGTTCAGCAGGTGAGCTTGCTTGGAGCAATACTCTTCGAGAGACCAGATCCTCGTCATTAGTCGGATGTTTTAAAAGACTTTTGGAGCTCGGTGCAGATAACCAAAGCCTAGGACGGTGCTTCATTTTCCATTTTCGGAACATTCTTGTCTCGAGAGAAAAAAAGAAAAAGTCTACGGTAGTATCGTATTGTAATACCCAACGTACACCTAACACGAGTACGAGTACGTACCTGTACGTACTGATGTCCTTTAACTATGGTCAATGATGACGACGATTTTACGATAGGTTAAGACTTCCGGGGGATTCTTGGCTGAAAGATGAAGTAGAGTAACGCAAGTACTTCGTAGTACAGTAATCTACGAAGTAGTGCACACCTTGCGTAATACCGAGAATGAGGGTGAAGTGATGAAGGACTTTTTGGCGGRATAATGTCCCCCTTTTCAGATGAGATTTTCCCTTCGAGTTTTGGCTGAATCGGGTGAGTCAAAATCATCGCMATATCTGTTTCGACGAGACYATGATTAGTTTTTCTGGCACACATACGTACTCCTCCATGTGCCTKCCCCAGAGAAAAGGAAAATCACTACCAAAAGTAGACCCAGGCAATCGAAGACGGGGAGGAGGGCCTGCCTCAGAATTGTACYGTGCAATACCGGTAGAGCATGGACGAAAACGATAMCAGCATGGTGATAAAATAGTAATAGTGAAATAAAGATCTACTAAGGAAGAATCCTTGATCAGTATATACCCCCTTTTTCGTATGGAAAGAAAACTGGCAATCATTGTGATAGATGCAGTTTGACCCCAAAAAATAGTTTCATTTCTTTCTGGCGACAAGAAGCATTAGTCTCTTCCTTGACTTTGTTGCACCAAGCGATATGGTGAGGTCTCGATCTAATCGAAATTTTGTTGCCAACCCCTTGTCCGATCCTTCCCCATCATCATCCACMGAGGACGCTGTGATGCGGCTTACAAAGGCATTGGATTCCTCGTTTTCTTTCACCCCCATTATAATTGTTTTGAGACGCGGAAACTTTGAAGCCAAAAATTTCATGGTCGTCGAAACAGAYGACATCGTGATCAAATCGTCACAAGACAAACAMACCAATGTATCCACAGAATCTAGATCTAGCGGCGAGAACGAAGAAGAGAAAGAAKWCGACGCGTGTTTCTTGCTTCTCTCCTGCTCGTCAAAATCCATGGCATCCTTCAGGGTACAAGGTAAAACCCGATGTCTGCTCGAAACGGTGGGATCGACCCATATTGGACTCTCCAACAGCAAAGGRTCCACGACGATCACATCACCAATAGTGTCCTCCACTAGGTTGCCAATATTCTGTCCGCTGCTGTCCGACAAAATGAAAGGTGCCGTCACCAGAGAATTCAAAAATAAAGACGTGGTGGATGTCAGGAAATCATCTGACGAGCTTTCCCTCGCCTTCGTTYTTAGTATTTTCCAACCGTTTGGTCCAACTTCGAGGGTGGAACGAAACCGAGACGACGCCGACCCGGGATTCGATGCCAGGGATCTAAGCCATGCTCTCGCTATATTGAGGATATCATCGTTTTCATCACGAGCTTCGTCCTTAGTTTTYCCGCCACTTGCCACTCGTTTTATGAAGGATTCATATTTCGATCTCTGACAGTCATTCCCGGTAAGCCCTGGGATGCACTTGTCACACCGTCCGGTCACAGAATTTCTCCGAAACCCCTGYGTCGGRCATGGGACGATCATAATACTATTCGTCGGACCAAAGGGGTTGCTCATTAGGGCCTTGGAATCCAACAATTCGGTTTCGTTAAATTTGTTGGAACAATCCATGAAATCCCCGAGTGTTGGCAAAGAACCGACGCGGCCGTTTTTCGTAAACCCATCGGCRGTTCTATGGAGGAGATCGGCGTTGTTGACACAGAAATTGATTCTTCGGTCCCGGGGAGTTTCCAGTGCCGGTGCAGTTTCACGAACGGCAAAGGCGATTCCTCGGTACAGGTAATGCATGTCCATTACCTGGAGTCCYCGCTTGCCACTCTCCACTTTAAGTTTTTGAATCGTTTCCGGGACGCCGTCGCCGTGGCAATTTCGGGTGACGTTGTCGTAGCAGGTATCATGGAAACTTATCACGGCTCGGTCGCTCAACAATTGGCTGTAATTGTCAAAGTCCTTCCAGCTTTGCTCGAATCCATGATCGGCATCGACGTGTAAGTAATCGATCGTAAAGTTGGTTCTGGGATTGTCGTRTAGGGGGCGAAAAAAATTCTCGTAGGCGYCATCTGTCAATTGAAAGACGTAATTGATATCTGAGAATTCTTTCCTCATAGTAGTGTTTTCGTTCTCAGCATAAAAAGTGGATCCCCAACCTGCCGATGCCTGTTTTTAACCACGGCGAGAGTTATTTGTAAGCGTGTGCAAAAGAGGACAAAGCAAACAAAAAATGCCTATGGGATCTTACCAAATGCGCGTCCACCAGATACAAGTCGTACGAACCATCCCGAATAGGCCGAACACCGCTCGCCRCTAGGTCTCTCTGGGCTTGCTTGAGCATTCGTGGAACAAAACCGCCACCGGACCCCAGCACCACAATAGTTTGCGATCGAAAGGAATAGGCCATGGAGTAATACAGCATTCCGGCACCCAGGAAGGAGAGGTGGTTCGCCCCATGACTCTCAGCCCAGGGTGCTTCCCGTAGCAGGGTATCGCGGATCAAAGACGCATCTAACAGTATTCCGGGCTGACTAACTCTTTGTAGAGTCGTTTGGTTCTTCTCCTCTTCTCGTTTGTTTGAGATGATGCGATCTTCGTCCACATGATTGTTTTTMGTACCAAAATCGATATTGCTGTTATGGTTTGCATTCACATGAGGCTCCACTCTGTATCGTTCCCTTTCAACAAMTGTTTGTCTCATCCAGATCAATTGCCACAGAACACAAGATCCGATTACGATCGAACTGAACGCAATAGTATACAGCCGATGAGGATTATTCGTCGTGCGCGGTGCTCTTGWTCCTCTCATCATTATTGTACAAGGAACAGTTGTAGGTGTASTTGTGCTTGGCGAACTAGCGTTGGGTTTAGGAATTAAGAGATGGCAATGGCTTGGATATTTTTTGATGCATYACAGCTACCATGTGCTCGTATCAGCATTCGTTCCTCATACGATGTGTTGCATACCGGTATGATGGTAAACTTCATGAAATAAATTAACGGTATCCGATTGGGTACGTAMGAGTACTAGACTCACCGTACAACCGTAAAAGTCAACTTTTCGAAATTCAAAATTCAATTTCAGTAGCGATCCGGGGCGTCATTTCCCCACGACCTGTGCATGCATGACTGGAACAAGTATTTCAAATTTATTCATAGTATATGACTATATGATTTATAGACACTTTCCTTAGATACGAAGCGTACACACGAAACAAATCAGAATATCTCGGATTTTGGATTTTTCGCGCGATCAAACCGTCACGCAAAAATGTGAGTCGACTGACAATCCCCTCGTACCGTACCTGGTACCGTACTCTTACTACGATACGAACGACTCTCAAAAAACTTCGGCAGCTGGCTAGAACCTGATTTATGTGCCTCACACAGACAACTTTCTTCGGGTGCATGCAACACTGAACATGAAAATAGGTAAGAGGATCTCCCCTTTAATTGCACACGTGCCTTTCATGGTCAGATTTGCGTTCGACATACAGTAGTGTACTAGTACTAGTACGAGTACTGCTGTGACTGACTCCCTTACAGTAACAATGGGTGATTCCCGTTATTCTAGAATCTCTAGATTTGATAGACAGACAGACCGAAAATTTAGTAAAAATGACTCTAGACTTGGCGCGTTTAGA